TTTTTTTGAAAGAAAGAAAGAAAGAAAGAAAGAAAGAAAGAAAGAGAAAGAAAGAAAGGGAAAGAAAGAAAAGCTATCTTTTCTGCACGACTTGTCCAAGCCTTGAATATACTAAAATGCATATGGCACTTCTCCAAGTAGTATCCATTCATTCATTCACTCATTCATTCACCAGATAAAGGTTAACCAGACATATACTCCGTACCCAGTCCTGTGTGGGGTGATGCTGGGGGCACAAAGATGACCTAGGCGGCCCTGGGTTGTGCCCTCACCAAGCCCAAGTCCAGGGGTGGGCAAGACAGACAGCAGAAAAAAAGTCCCTCAACCAAACACCTCATCACAGGCTGTGAGAAGAGGTGGGGTGGAGACCCAGTAAGGCTGGAGAGAGCCCATGTCTGGGGCCGGTTGTGTTGAGAACTGAAGGCCCTCTGAGCCCCTCCCAGGCTGCTCCCCACACGGCCCGAGGACCCCTTTTCACACCTAAGCCAGGTCACAGGCCTCAGGCGTATTTATTTACATTTACCCCTCAGCACGGCCAGGCTCTGTTTTGGGCAGTGGACAAATTGCCAAAGCAGTAAGCGAATCAGACAAAACCCCTGCTCTGTGGAACTCAAAGGCCAGTAGGTGAGACGGGGAATGGAAGGGACACATGAGTAAAATAGATGGTGTGTCACAAAAGGAGCCGGGGAGCCAAATCAAGGCTGACAGAGGCAGGGGCGTACTGGCGTGCGGGGTGAAGCTGCCATTTTCCATAGGCGAGCACAGAGAGAGCTTCGTTGAGGAGGTGGAGTGTGAATGTAGATCTGAAGGAGGGGAGAGAGTTGCGAAGGTAGGTGAGGGAACAGAGAACTAGGCCACAGGGCCTGCGAGTACAGAGAACCCAAGGCTGGTGGGGGGTGCGGTGGGGGAGGACCAGAAAGGAGGCCGGAGCAGAGTGAGCGAGAGGCAGAGGAGCTGGGAGGCAGGCTGGGTCAACACGGGGACTTTGCTTCTCCCTGAAGAGAGGGGCAGCCAGGGGAGGCTCTGAGCCGGGAGGCCCTGACCCCACTCGGCGGTTCACAGGCTCCCTCTGCCTGCGGGCCCGGGAGCAGAGCAGCGGGGGACCTGGGGAGGGGCTGCTGTGGTGTCCAGGAGGGGGTGGATGGAAGCTGGGCCAGGGCAGGGACGGTGGGGGCGAAGGGTTTAGACCCTGGGTCGCAGGGACAGGGTTTGCTGGCAGACTGGACGTGGCTGTGAAGGAAGGACAGGGGTCAAGGACAACTCCACGGTGTTTGGCCTGAGCCATAGAAGGATGGAGCTGCCATTGACCAGGATGGGGAAGGGGGCCGGGGGAGCAGGTCTGGGGAAGGACCAGCTGTGACCTCCTGGGTCCTTTTCTCCCGAGCTTCCTGCATTGCTGCTGCTCCAGAGCACATTCTAAGAAACCAAATCTGGGGCAAACTCAGTTTGCCAACCTCTCAGGAGGAAGCCGGCGAGGCCGTACCCAAGCCGAGTGGTCTTCCCATAGCCCCACAGATCTGGACAAGGTCGTGCTGAGACCCTGCTAGGTGCCCAGCACTATGCCTCGTGCTCTCCCTGACCACCAACAGCAGGGCCTTGCCACACCACCCCGAAGCCACAGAGATCCCCATTTTGGTCAGAGGAGGAGCTGAAGCTTGGAGAGACGGGGTGACTTGTCCAACATCACCGGGTGAGTGAGAAGCAGAGAGGGTTCGCGCCCAGGCTTCGCCACTCCAAACCCCAAGCTGTGAATGTTGCCCTAGGCGGCCTGTCCAGCCACTTCCCCTTCTGAGGGTCAAACAGTGACAGCGGGGGGAACGTCAGTGGGTTGGACCATGTTATGCTATGTCATATCTAGTAGGGGGGGTGGCTTTTGAATCTCACAACCATCCTAGGGCATAGAGACCCCTTCTATGCCCATCTTGCAGATCGGGAAACTGAGCCTCAGAGAGGACATACTTGCCCAGGAACCTACTGCTAAGAACCAGCAAAGAATTTGAACCCAGGCCTGCCAGCCTACATTCTCACTGCTGCTTCTGAGGGTCTCACCTGGACTTTCACTGGCCCCACCCTGGGCACACTTCCCCCAGCTAGCACTAAGAGCCTCCTGGCTGTCCTGCCTTAATTATGGCCTCCTGCTCTGAGGTGGGGGCAGGCGATGCCTGGTGCCTCTGCTGGATGGCGCCCACCACCCCGCATTCCAAGACCAAGAGTTGGGGTTCAAACCGTCAGCTGGGGGTGAAAAGTTTCCAAGTGTTCCAGATAGGCTGAGGCCTTAGGGAAAAAATGATCACTTTATGGATATGGGTTGGGGGAGATGCGGGGAGGGAGTATCAAATGCCCCCTCTAATTATTTTTTTTTTTTTTTTAATTTTTTTTTTCAACGTTTATTTATTTTTGGGACAGAGAGAGACAGGGCATGAACGGAGGAAGGGCAGAGAGAGAGGGAGACACAGAATCGGAAACAGGCTCCAGGCTCTGAGCCATCAGCCCAGAGCCCGACGCGGGGCTCGAACTCACAGACCGCGAGATCGTGACCTGGCTGAAGTCGGACGCTTAACCAACTGCGCCACCCAGGCGCCCCTCCTCTAATTATTTTTGAAGCCACGTTCTGTGCCACCGTTTCTCACTTTTCAACTCTTTATTCTTGTTTGAATTATTTGAAAAAAAAAAAAAATGTGTTCCGGGTCACCTGGCTGGCTTACTAAATTGTGTGATATAGTTAGAGGTGTGAAAATGCCAGGAGAATGAGGTGGGGATATAGTTTTGCGTCTGTTTTTGTTTGTTTGTTTGTTTGTTTTGTAATTTCCCAGCAGTTTTGGAAAACCCAAGTATAACTTGAGCAGTAGTGCTGACGTTGCCCGGAGCTCGGTCTGAATCACGGCCTGGTTACTTTCCAGCTGGAGGCCAAGAACAAGGTAGTTCATTGGCAACTTGTGTGTATTCATTTAAGCAAAGACTCCCTGAGCACCGACTTAGATGCAGGACACCGTCTAGGACAGCAAACAACATGCCCCTGCCCTCCTAAAATGCACCAGAAGTACATAATTATCAGTGTGAGGAGAGTTTTACCGCGGCAACACGGATGGTGGTGGGGTCGGGGGGAGCATGAGGTCTGGGGTGCAGGAAGGCCTTGCTCAGGAACGTTAAAGCCTGAAGGTGAGACACAAAAGCAGTATTTACCAAGTGGCTGAGAACCAAGCACTGCAAGGACCTGCATCTCTCATTCTCCCCCGCGCCCCTCGCCGCTTACAGATGAGGCTATTGGGACTCAGGCGGGGCAGGACCGGTAGGAGGCCCCAGAGCTCAGAGTGACGGTGCGGAACCTTGAAACTGCTTCTAGGTGTGAGCTGGAAAGAGGTGATAAGCAAAGACTGTGGGACCGGGAGGGTTCTTCAAGGGCATGAGAGTGGACCCTGGCGAGTGCCAGACACAAGCTTGAGGTGCGGGCGGAAGAGGGGGATGGACCCTAGGAGCCTTGGAGCCGCAACGGGTTGAGATTTTAGCCCAGCGGCAGTGGGGAGCTATGGAGGGGTTTTCGGCAGGGGCACGATCCCTCTGTCCTGCCGCTTATTCGGTGTGTGGTCTTCACTTCACTGGGCCTCAGTTTCCCCCATCTGAAAAATGGGGATGATAACAGCTCCAAATTCACAGGGTATGGTGCAAAATTTACAGCCAGGGCCTGGCAGATGTTAGCCGTCACTATGGCCAGTTGCTTGGCTATTTCTCGAGAAACAACAGAGTGTAGTTGTTCTGCACAAAAGCAGATCTAGGCTACCTGGGTTCAGATCCCAGACCCCGCCGCTTACTAGCTCTGAGACCTGCAGTACATCACTGGGCCTTTCTGTGCCTCGGCCTCCCCACATTAAAATGAGCTTTAGGGGGGCGCCTGGGTGGCGCAGTCGGTTAAGCGTCCGACTTCAGCCAGGTCACGATCTCGCGGTCCGTGAGTTCGAGCCCCGCGTCGGGCTCTGGGCTGATGGCTCAGAGCCTGGAGCCTGTTTCCGATTCTGTGTCTCCCTCTCTCTCTGCCCCTCCCCCGTTCATGCTCTGTCTCTCTCTGTCCCAAAAATAAATAAATGTTGGAAAAAAAAAAAATGAGCTTTAGGGGAGGGTTAATGAATTGACAGCATAGAGCCCAGGGGCCTGCGCCCGGCACCTGTAAATGCCAAGTGCTGACATGATGACCAACATGGACGCAGGCTTCCCTTGTCTGGATTTTCATTTCTTCTCTTGACGTGAGCAGAGCCCTTTATGGAATTGATGAGGCTCACGGGAGTGAAAAATACATGCCGACACTTAAGTTCCCCTTTCTTCCTGCTGCTCTGGGCCACAGAATGGCAGCCTGGGGCTGGCATCTGGGAAAATTCATCCATTCATTCCACATTTAGTGTCTGTATCTATTATTAGTGTGGCCATTCATTCTCAGCTGCCTGCAGACACAGCTCTAGCAGGCGAGTCTAACAGCTATTCCTGGCCTCATCATCTACCAGCTGTGTGCCCTCTCTAGTCTCATTTTCCACATCTGTAAATGGGGGTCATAACAGCAGCCGCCCCCCAGAAGAACTAGAATGGGTCGCCGAATTCATACGGCACCCCTCAGACAGGTTTTGACCTTGCCTCGCAGTAAGGAACACATTTTACATCACAGCGTAGCCCTGAACCTGTGCTTTCTGGGGCGAATCATTGCGTTGCTCCGAGCCTCAGTTTCCCCATCTGTAAAACGGACTGATAAACAGTACCACTCTCGTAAATCCAAAACAGAAGATTAACAAAACTTTTTCTTACGGAGAGAGGTACACTGTGGTATTTTCTAATCTAACCTATTTTTTAAAATGCGGTTTTCAACTCCCTAATTTAATTTCACGATGCACCAAGCGGGTAATGCACTTAGAGTCTAAGAGACACGAGACAAGTGAAGTGCTTAGAACAGTGCCTGGCCCAGAGCAGGCCCTCCACACGGCACAACATCGCTAACTTCTCTGCACAGGCTCCCGCAGTCACTCAGGACCTTTTTTCTGGAGCTCCCACCAGGTACATGTGTCCTCCAGGGCTTCCCAAAGGGTCCCAGCCTGCTTTACTCACCCGGATACAGCGGCTCCTGATCACTCTTGAGTAGAAAGGTCACTGCAGAGAAGGTAGAGGTGAGGGCAGGCAGGCGGTGGGGGGGAGGGGGGGGCTGCAGGGGGCAGGGGAGGGTAGAGGCCTAGGGGCCACTCTCACCAATGGCCCAGGATGCTGCCCCGATGGCCGTCAGGAGCAGCAGTGTCCCCGCAGCGAGAGCTGCCACCTTGGGTCCGGAACAGCATGGCACAGTCCGGCCACCTGCAACAGACACTGTGCTGGAGCCACCGCCAGGCCTGTCCTCGTCACGGCAGGGTCTGGGCACGGAGCCAGCTCTTAGCCCCCAGGGCTAACTTAGCACGCCTGAGCCTGCCATGCCCTGGGCCCAGTTTCTCAGGGCCGTCCCTCCCCTACAGCGTGAACAACCAGGTGTCCAGCTCCACAAGGCTTCCCGCTGGGAAGGGGCGTGGCCAGGACAGCCGCACTCCTGCCACGTAATGATCTTTCCTCCCCGGTGTCGGTGACACATGACAGGTGCTTCCGCACTTTGCTATCTCCTTCATCGTGTTGCACCCTTTTCTCGAAACTCTCACTTCTGATAACTCTCTCAGAGGTTCTTGTGACCCTTGACCTTTGCCCCCTTGGCAGCTCACTTCCCTCCTGTTTGGCATTTCCTCGCCACCAGTCTGTTCCAGTCCCTCCGTCCTTGGGTATTCTCCCAAAGCCAGACCTCTCCCGCAGGACCCAGCTCCAAGGTCAAATGTAGCCCTGGAGGGTAAGAACCTAAGTTTAAAAATTCGCAAGCCCCACTTTGAAATATTGGTCTTACTCCGTGCTGACAGCTCGGAATCTGGAGTCTGCTTCCAATTCTGGGTCTCCCTCTCTCTGCCCCTCCCCCGCTCATGCTCTGTCTCCCTCTGTCTGTCTCTGTCTCTCTCTCAGAAATAAATAAACATTGGGGCGCCTGGGTGGCTCAGTCGGTTAAGCGGCCAACTTCAGCTCAGGTCATGATCTTGCGGTCCGTGGGTTCGAGCCCCGCGTCGGGCTCTGTGCTGACTGCTCAGAGCCTGGAGCCCGTTTCAGATTCTGTGTCTCCCTCTTTCTCTGACCCTCCCCTGTTCATGCTCTCTCTCTGTCTCAAAAATAAATAAACGTTAAAAAAAAAAAAAAGAGTTAAAGAATCCATGCTATAAACAAATAAATAAATAAATAAATAAATAAACAAACATTAGAAAACATTTTAAATGTCGGCCTTACCCCTCCCTCCCTGGGACCTTGGACAGGTGGCATCACCTCTTTGAGCCTCAGCTTTCTCATCTATTTAATAGGCATCCTCCCAGCACTCACCTAAAAATAATACTTTCAAGTTCTCTTAAATAATAGCCAAACTCTAATCACGGGCTTATTTTCTCAAGCACTGCTCTAAATGCATTCACTTACTCAGGCTCATTTCAATTATGGTTCCCATTCTTCAAGCAGGAAGCACTAAGGCTCAGAGAAGTGGAGTCACATGCTCAGGGTGACTCAGCCAGCAAGAGGCAGTGCTGAGTCCTGAACCCCGGGCACGTTTGGTGCTGGGGCCCAAGTGTAGAACCACTAAGCCATGCTACCTCTCCCCGTGCTATAATGCCCGGCATAGAACAAGTTCTCAATAAATGCTTTTACATCATTAGAGCCGTGTGGTCCTGGGCAATACCCTTCACCTCTCTGGGCCTCACTTTTCTCATTGGTAAATGGAGCTCTATTCATTCATTGTCCTGTTGGAGCAGCCACTGTACCTGGCCCCATTCTAGGCTCAGGAGACACATCCCAAAACAAAACAGGTGAGATGCTCGCTCTCGTGGGCCTCACATTCTCATACGTGTAAGGTTGAGGGGAAAACATAAACAAGTAAGCAAACTCGATCATTTCCAGACTGTGGCGAAGTCTATGAAGGAAATAATGCAGGTCAGGGCAGCAGGTGGCCTCTGGAGGGTGCTGAGGGAAGGTCTCCCCAAGAGGGGACTTTTGAGCAGAGACCTGAAGGGTGACACCAGCCATGTAAAGATCTCAAGGAAGAGCGCTGTGGGCTGAGGGAACAGCACAGGCAAAATCCTTGAGGCAAAAATAAGCATATGATCTGTTTGAGAGAGGCCACTGATGTGGCCAGAATGGCATGAGCTTGGGGGAAGGCAGGCACCGAGGCTGGGACCAACTAGGGAGGCCAGTACCCTGAGGAGAAGGGGGGTTTTATTCCCAGTGCGACAGAGGCCCTGGGGATTAAGAGCCAACCCCTTTTGCTAGGGATTGTGGGAGGGCCGAAGATGCAGGGCTGCTAAAAGCCTTTGGCAGGGCCTGGCGTGTGCCCAGCTGTCCCTGGCACCTGCAGGCCGTCCCCGGGGCAGCAGGAGCTCCCAGCTCTCCCCTCCATGTCGTGGTAGTACAGCTGGTGGGCACAGGGCCAGACCAGCACCCAGAACGGAGCAAGGCCTGGTCCAGGATCCTCCTGGGACGGCCGGTGTCTGGGTGTCTTAAGAACTTGAGAAGCCAGCAGTTCCCGTCAAGGCACGAGAAAACAAATACTCCCTCCCTCCAAAGAGGCCACAGTGGGCCAGGCCAACCCTGGCCTCCCGCCCACGCCCGCCCACCGGCGACTCTGCCCCCAACCATCTTCCTGGTTCCGGTGGGAGGTCTTGACTCCCTGCAGCCATGAGGCTGGTCCTGGTCCCTTTGTTTTCAGGTGCCTGTCAGGGCTTTGGGCCCGGCCCGGAGGCTCTGGTGTGCCTGCCGGGGTGCCAAGCGCTGCCACCCCGTGTCTCTTGGGGTGGGAAGAACCTCCTCCCACGCCTTCTGGATCTGGGGACTTCGAGTAACCCTAAAACAGGTGCCCCTGGTGGGACAGGAGGCGTCTTCACTCTGGGTCCGCCTGTGTGAGAGGCCTCCTCACAGCTCGTCTTTGCGGAGGCAGGAAGTGTCCTCACTGTGGGCGTGAGGCAGCCTCCTTGCCCTGATTCCCGGGAAGCAGGGGAGCCTCCGGGCCTGGGAGGCAGCCTGCCCAGCCTCTGCCGCAGGCACTGCTCTCTGCCCCCCAAGGGCACTAAGGCTGCCCTACCTCAGGTCTTCTGCCCCCACCATTTGGCTGCAAACCCTCACAAGTGACATCTTTGGTTCCTTGGCTTGAAACTCAGGCTCGTGGCTCAGCCCTCACCCTACCCAGCTCCCACTTCCTGAATGGAGGGCCCTCCTTTGGCCTCCGGGATACGGCACGTGCCCGATTTTCCCTCCATTTTTCCGATGGGGCCTTCCCCATCCCCTGACCCTCTTCTTACTCCCCGAAACCTGGGGTCCATAGGGTGGCACATGGCCTCCCCCCACTCAGGCCCCCTGCTCCCATGTCTGTCTCACACACCTCCACAGCCTCAGTTTCCCTTTTCTGTCCTGCAGCCTCGTAGATGTCCCCGCCCACAGGACCCTCCTGGTCTGACACTGGCCTCAATGTCCTCCCAGCCCCCAGGTCCCGTCAGAGGCTCTCATCCTCAGGACTGTCCCTCATCTGCAGGATGCTTCCCCCTGCCACACACACAGCTTGCCAGCTCACAGCCTGCAGGCCTCCTGAGCATCTCCTGTCCACCCTCTCCTTCCCTGCTCCCAGCCCCACCTGGGCTCAGCCTCCCTACAGAAGCCCAAAGATCTTCCTAAACACAAAATCCATCCTGTCCCTTCTTTACCTGGAACCCTCCATGGCTCCCCAGTGTCCCCAGGACAGAGTCTTAGACCTTCAGCCCTGTGGTGCAGCTGTTAGAGATTCGGGGATTGAACATGTTTCCCCAAATTCCCAGAGAGTCTTATGGGGCTTTCTTTATCAGACACCCAATAGTTTCCAAAGAGCAGTCAAAGCCCCAGAACTTGTAAAACACAAGTCAGTAGAAGAGAAACGAAGACTAACCACCAGCGCCATCTTGCGGAGAGACCCAGCACTGCCAAGGCATCAGCCAGCCCTTCAGCAGAAATAGTCCTAAGAGACGTGGCTCCAGCTTGCTCACCTCACCGCTGCCCCAGCTCCACTTCCGGTATTACCTCCAGAAATAGCCGAATTACCCATGTGCCACTGCACACCCAGCGCCTTGTCAGCCCCTGCCTTTAGCCGCTCTTCCCTCTGCCTGGCACACCCTACCTATTCCCTCCTCGTCCTGAGTGTCAGCCCAGGTATCGCCTCCTCCAATTCTGAGTCCCCAGGGAGCACCAAGAAGCCTGCCTTGGGCGCACTTCAAAGTAACACAGATGTAGCAGCCACAAGGCAGGGATGGCTCTCAGCCCTGTCCTAGCCCCGTCCTGAACTTCCCTTACATCCTTGCACCAGGTGTTAATAAGGACGGCATCATTATCCTCGTCCCCAGTGTACAGATGAGGAAAGGAGGCCCAGAGAGGCGCAGCCACCTACCCTGGGTCACCCAGCAAGTCGGCGCAGCACCAGAACCTCTAAGCATCTGTATCCAGGTCTGACCACCAGCTCCAGCCCCGCCAGCAGGACCCCGCGACGGGACCGGCTTGAGCTGCCCGGGGGTGCACTGGAGCCCCACTCTGGCTTGCTTCTCTCTGTAGCCAGACCATCTCCGGCCACCCCTCTGGGCATGACCTGCTTTTCTCCCCGGTTCATTCACACGTGGGCCCCGGGCCCGGGGACCCCAGGAGACATGCCGTCCCTGAGGTTCCAGGCTCTGTCACCCACCTGCTCAGCCAGGACAAGTGCCCCCTCCTGAGCCACTGCGAGCCTGGGCTCGCTCTGGGCCACAGCCATGCGGCTTGGGGCTTGATCTGCCAACTGTGCTGAGACCCCACAAGGGCAGTGTCCACACTGATCGTTTCAGCCAACACAGCCAGCCCTTCCTGCCGAGCGTGCCATTCAGACCCTCATGCCACCCTGTGAGGCGTGCCTTCGTATCATCTCCATTCTACAGATGAAAGCTTGAGGACCAGAGAGAATAAATCCGGGACCTCCCAGCCAGAAAGTGCCACCACCTGGGACCAAACCCAGCTAGCCTGGTTGCAGGAGGAAGAGAGGGAGCCGGTCCCCACTGGAGAGGCAGGCAGGAAAGGCCGTCCCCTGATCGGGCCCCTCCAGCTGGCCCCCAAGCGTGGAAGAGGTTGAGGGAGAGGCGGGCTGTTTGGAGCCCCCACCGGGGCCTGCCAAGAGCCCTTCAGTGCCAGCCACTCGGGCACGTGTTTTCCCCCATCGTTCCTGGAGTGCTTTCTCTGCGACCTCTCCCCTCTCCATCCATCCTGGCCGAGTCCAAAGTCCTCTCTCTGCTCTTTTGCCCACAGTGCGGGGAGGTGGGAGGAATGTCTGGAATTGGTGGGGGTCTCGGGTCCCGGGGACTCCAAGTCGGCCGACCTCTGTCATAACCGCTCCAGTTCATGGCATGTGTCTCACATGCTAAGCCCCACAGTGGTGCTTTGTGTGTGTTCCGAGCTCCCAACAACCCCCGTACATAGGCAGGTAGGTAGGTTGGTAGCATTAGGATCCATGCTTGACCCAGAGGTAAAATGAAGCCCAGAGAAAGGATGTCAGTTGTACAAGACCACACAGCAAAAAAGTGGCAGGTTCAAGTACAGGCCTGTGTGTTTAGCTCCAGAGTCTGTGTCCTTAACCATGATAGCTGGTCTTCCCACCTTAGCCCCAAGGAGAAGACGGTCCAGGGTTCGCTGAGAGATCACTGGGCTGTGAGGGGAAACTGAGGCATGGAGCCAGGCAGGTCATATGGGGTAGCGGGAAGGCGGGTGGTGGCACAGCCCCACAGAAATTTTGGTTAATAGTTAATCAGGTGGAAGAGACTTCCTAAGGGGCTGGGGGTGGGCCCAGGAGGGGTGCCCTGAGCAAGGGGGCTCTGAGGGGGTGGAGGGCTGGGAACAGAGCACAGAGGGAGGGGCGCGAGGCAGAGCCAAGGTTGGGACTCAAGGAAAAGGGGACTCACCCTCTTTCTCCGCCATGTCACGGCCTCTTGTTAATGATTCCCCGGCTGACTTCCTGGGCCGGGGAGGGACCTGTGGGGAGATGAACCGAGAGGCAGGGCCTGGGGGAGCCGAGCCCAGCCCCGGTGCCCCCAGTCCCAGGCGCCCATCCAGGGAGGCTGGAGGGACTGGGCCCTGGCCAGAGCACGCCGTGATCACGGACGCAGATCGGGCCGGGTTCAAGGATGGGGTCAGTGTCTGACCAGCAGCCAGGGGACGCCTGATTTGCAGGGTTGGGGGCCCCCCCGTGCCTGGGCCTTGGTGAGGAGTGGGCTGAAGGTCTGAATTCCTGGGGCTGAGGGAGTAGATGAGAGCTGGGGACCTGAACTCCTGGGTCCTGGGGAAAAAGGCATTTGGGGGCTCTGAACTGCTGGGTATGTGGGAGGAGGGGCGTAGGAGCCCAGACTCCCGGGTCTGAGGGAGGCGGAGACTGGGGCCCCATCCCTGTGTCTGAGGGAGACGGGGTTGGAGCTCCAAGGTCCTTGGAGAGACGTCTGGGAGCCCCTCTACTGGGAGGTGGGCGCTAGGTAGGGTGAGGATGAGGGGACCCATGTCCCGGCCTGGAACTGAGGGCCGCGGTCCTTACCCTGGGGTCCGGCAGGTGGGGGCGGAGCTGAGAGATAGTGCCCTTGTCGGGTCAGTCTCCAGGCCTGGGCAGGAGCATGGTGGCCCCGCAGCAGCGGTGGCCCGGAGGCAGAGGCAGCGGCGTGGGGCCTGCTAGGCCTGGCTGCCTCACCTGAGGAGGAGGGGGGCTGGGCCGGAGGCGGG